TTCCTTAGATATAAGGATAGGGAAAAAGCTTGAGACCCCAATTTGAGGACCTCCATGACCCCAAATGTGTGTGATTGATCCATATGTGTGTGTTGTATTTTTTTTTTTCCCCCTCTCTCACATAGGATGATGTGAGGGTTGTGTGGGTGGAGTTTTTATGGGGGTTTCAATCATTACTCTAAGGATATATTATTGTGGCGTTTTTAAAAGTAGAGGAGAAGAGTAATGCGTCACATAGGAGAGAGGGAAAAAGAAAAGCAGAGAGATCTGTATGCACTATTTAGATGAAAAAAATATGTAAAAATAAAAATTATATTAAATTTATTTTAAAAATTAAATATAAATATGTTGTAGTTGGATTAAGTTTAAAGTACACATATTAATTATGGAGAGTATTGATTTTTTTTAATTATTCATAAGTATTATATATTGGTATATAAAATTTAAATTAAATTAAATGCTTTGTAATATTTTTGATATTTAATAGAAGAAAATTAATTGTATATGTAGTTTAGATTAAGTAAAAAAAAAATTTACATATTATATTTTAGCACTAGTTAGGTAAGTATATTACTTTGGCATTTTTAAAAAGTGCGAGGGAAAAGTAATGTGCCGAAAAAAAGAGTAGAATAGAGTAGAGAGATATGTCACTTAGGAAAGAGGAAAAAAAATTAGGGATAAACAATACTTTAATAATATATATTAATAATATATATAAATTATGATGATATAATATATATTAATAATATATATAAATTATGATGATATAATATGATATGATATCATGATGATGTAGATATATTTTTAATTTTATTTTTTTATTAGATTTCGTTTGACATTGGTTTCTTTAATTTGTTTTTTTGTTTTGAGACTTTTTTTAATTTGACTTTTTTAGCTTTGTTTGGTTTGATTTTTTTAACTTTGTAAGAAAAAAAATGTAATAATTATAATTTTGATATGATATTTTATCTTGTCTTGTGTTTTTCTGCTTTTTTAATAAGAAATACATAACCAAATAGTATAAGGATTAGGAGTTTTATTTTAGGATTTGTGGCGTCAGCACAGTAGGCCCTGTAGTCTTGTTTTATCGGCTTATTTTAGGATCTGTTTTGATAGTTTAAACCGTTCATATTTTAGAGTTTATCGAATAGAATATATTTATAAAAAAAAATTAAATTAATCAGATATTATCAATCTTTTTATCCACTCACATTTGTATTCATTTTAATATTTTAAATCATAATATTATTTATTTTTGTAGATACAAATGTAAATAGAAAAAAGTATTAAGGATATCCGATAAGCTTATTTTTGTAAATATATTTCACTCGATATACTTTAAAATGTGAACGATTCGGATTATCAAAAATAAATTCTAAAATAAATCCCTAAGACAATACTACAGTACCTACTATGATGGGGCCCCGTTTGTTTTCAGAGGTAAAATAGAGGGGATTGATAATAAGGGGATTAAGTAAAATTGTGTTTGTTTTGATGATAGTTGTTAGTGTAGGGATTGTTAAATTATTTTTATATAAAATAATAAAACAAATGAAAAAATACAAAAATATTAAACATTAATGTTTTTAAAAAAAATGCCTAATATGTAAAAAATTTTAAAAAAATAAAAATAAAAATAAAATTTCTAGAAAAAAATAAAATAAATAAAATAATGATTTTTACTTAACAAAAAATACAAAAAATTAAACATTAATGTTCAAAAAAAAAATGTCTGACATGTAAAAAATAACATAAAAAATAAATAAAAAAAAATTTTCTAATCCGCTAGACTATTTTTCTAACACCAAATCCTAGAGGCTCATTCTAATCCAGAGCTCACTATCAATTCCCTTTTCATTTCTCAAAACAAACATAATATTAATGAGTTCCACCTAACTACTAATAGAAAAAAATAAAATAAATAAAATAATGATTTTTACTTAACAAAAAATACAAAAAATTAAACATTAATGTTCAAAAAAAAAATGTCTGACATGTAAAAAATAACATAAAAAATAAATAAAAATAAAAAATTTCTAATCCGCTAGACTATTTTTCTAACACCAAATCCTAGAGGCTCATTCTAATCCGGAGCTCACTATCAATTCCCTTTTCATTTCTCAAAATAAACATAATATTAATGAGTTCCACCCAACTACTAATTTTAATCCCTTCTAACTCTCCAAACAAGCTAGGCTTAATTTATCTATCTTCGTCCCTGACTCCTTTTGTTAGGTCGATCAACCCATGCTGCAAAAGATGTTTGAAAATGTAGATAATGTGGACTTGCACGCAACAAGCGCCCAAATCCTTGGCCTGTTTGTTTGGGGTTATAAGAAGGGGATTGAGACTATTAATATTTTGATATTATTAGTATCTTGTTTGTTTTGATAGATGGCATTGGGACTACTAATCTTGGAATTACTAATACCCTTAGAAGGAGGATTCATAGTGAGGATGTAGAGATGGTATTAGAAAAATAATAAGGGGATTAGAAATTTTTTTATTTTTTTTATTTTTTATATATTAGGATTTTTTTTTAAATATTAATGTTTAATTTTTTTATTTATTTTATTATTTTATATAAAAATAATTTAACAATTTCTCACTATTAATTTTCTCACTATCAATATTCTCAATATTAATTTTATTAATGGCTATTTTATCTCCCAAATAAAATTATCACTCGATTAATTTACTTATTTAAATTAGGATAAATTACCAATAGATCATAATAATTAAACTTAATTCCCATCAAATCCTATTGAAAATAAGTTTTAGTAAAATCATCACTAAAAATAATTTTGTGACAATTTTTTGCATGTCGTTAAAAATTGACAATTATAATTAGTGACTTTTTTGTCATAATTTTTATAAATTGTTGCTAAAACTTACAATCAGTGACATTTTTTATGACAAATTTTTCTCATAAGATTTATTAGATAATAAGTTCACTTATTAGGATCTACATGTAAGTACCCCTTAAGAAAAGAAAGGTCAAATTTTCGATAAATTTTTTATAAATGTTTTATTTAATTTAATTTAATTTATATATATACTAGTGTATATCTATATTTAAAGGTCCAGTGTGAACAAAAATAAGGAGAAAAAAAAAACAAATAGAAAGAAAAATAAAAATGAGGAAAAATAAAAAAATAAAAAGAAAAAATGAAGGAATGTAGGATCATGGGTGAGAAAAGGAAAAAGTAAGAGAGAGAAGCGAAAAAATAAAAAATGTACATATAGGACATTTTTTTAAAAATATATCTCGACCGTTGTTTTATAATTTGACCACACATATGTGTTTTCTTCTCGTTTTTTATTAGATGTAGATATAGACATATAGGCTTCATCATTATTTTTATCATTATTACTATCATCAACAATCTGTGCAATTTTATTATTTCATTAATCCAAATCAAACCAAACCTACATTTAAAGAATATGTTTGTAAAAAAATTGACTGGATGTAAATAGAGTTTCGACTTACAACAATGGAGAAAAATTGAATTTTGAACACAGAGTAACAATAGATGAACACAGAACTTCGAACGCAAAGTGACAATGAAAGAACACAATGTTTCACCATAATAATAGAGGAACATAATATTATTTCATCACTGTGTAAACTAGAGTTTTTAAATCCTACTAAATTGAGAGTTTTGAAACCCTAGCACAATGAAACAAATATCACAAATGTGAATTAAACTAATCAAAAAGAAAAACGTAAATAATGATAACTGCCAAAATAGAGGTAGTAACAAAAAGAGAATGTGTATATCATTTTTTTATATAATACATATCAACAATAGATATAAGGTGTACGGGGAGGAAATAATTCTCCTCGTATAATCCTGTTGACCAAGTCCACGCTCCTCCGTACGACGTCGCTTTGTCACCTGAAAACACAAACGTGAGCTAGCCAGCGGGTGTGTGCCGGAAACCTCTCCGATGCCTAAGTCAGTAAGTTTGACAAATAGACAAAGCTCTAACTTCTCAAGAAAATTGTGTCCAATTAATTACCTCCTCCAAGGTGGTGCTTGTGAGCTTTTATAAGTTTTCCGTGGCACAATCCTAGTAGGACTTGTACTTCTCCATGCAGAGTCCTCCTAGGATTTATTCTCCTAAGGATAATGCTTATCCTTTTACACCCTCCCCACTGCTTAAACCAAGTGGGATGGTTTTCTCCATGGCCGAATTACCATGTGACCGAAATAACACTGGCTATGCTGAGCCACAGATTAGGCCGACCTATCCTTAGTTCGGTTTTGCTCGCTACACCATATCTCGATTCTCCTCTGCTCAACCCATGGTGTGTTTGGACCAAAACAACGACTCTCGACCGGTATAACTCCAAGACCAGTACACCTCTAAAGCCGATGTAGACTTCAAGACCGGTCTAACTCCAAGCTGTTCCAGGACCGAAGTACATTTTACAACCTTTCAACCGAAGTAACTCTATCTTTTATTAAGCTGAAGTAACTTTTACCTCTCCTGGTCGGAGTAATTATACCTTCCTGAGCCGGAGTAACTACACTTCTCCTGGGCCGGAGTAGCGTTGCGGCCTTCCCACCCAGTCCTTCGCACTTTGGGCCACAAAGCCCATCACATAGCTCGGCCCAATTTTTACCAAAAATTACCCTCTCATAAGGGTATAATAGTCTAACAAACAATATAAATCATGAAAAAATGATCTCATAAAATAAAAATATAAATACATAGGACTAACTAAGTTATAATTTTTATTGGTAGACTTATTGGATTAGAACACATTTAAATGAGATTTATCAATAAAAAAAAACCTTAGAAAAAAGTTAAAACTTACTTAATATTATTTATTTATCTTAAATTAATTTTAATTAATTTAAAAACAAATTTGTAAATAATCTATGTATAGAACGGGTGATACACTAGTTTCATAAACTACAAATACAGTAATGTATTTGACACAAAATTTGAGGGTGTATTTATAATTTATCAAAGAGAAATTAAAGCGAGGATTGACTTTTCATTGTATATTCCTATCCTGTTCATATTATTGCTTAATGCCTCTCTGTATATATATATCATCAGTGGATAAATCCCAGAGTCCAGAATCCATAAATGTCCAAGAATCTCTCCACGTACTCCATACATATCTAACCATCTTTCAGAACAAAAGTAAGATCGCCTCTCTCTCTCTCTCTCTCTGTTCCTGTTCAGGGGATAGGTTCTTATCTGATAACATGATATGTATGATATTATATGATTTTGTTGTGATATATTATCTTCTTAATAATGGGTTCTTTCCTACGATTTAAATGGTAGTTTTGTGTTGAAGATTTCATGATTGGAACTCACGAAAGCGTGAATTTATCTCTATTGTATTTCTAGATTTAATCATGATTTTTTAATTTTTTTTTATTTTTTAATTTTTTTTTATTGATCTGTTATTGCTTGTTGAATAAGAGGTTTTCGAATATTCAAAATCAATGTTTTGATACTCTGTTGTCTGCCCTGTTTAGAACAAGCATTTGAAGCGACTTGGGTGAGCAATTTCCTCGACCTACTTTTTCAAGTTACATTACACAGTAAGTTTTTAATATATAAGCATATTTAGGTATTGTTTTTTTTCACCTTTCTAATGAGATTTTGATGCAAAGCTTTGATATATGTACTTTAAACAATGTAGTCTATGAAGCATGGGTACATGTCTTACCTGTATTGGGTATTGATACTTTACATGGTAGTTCTATATGCATGACTGATAATATTTCTATATGCATATTTGGTGCACCAAATACGTATTCAAATTTTTTATCTTAATTTTTGCCATACTCTATAGATATCTGGTATATACCCAAGTCGTTTTGCAGCCGAAATAGTATTTTCTTGTTATGTAGATGTGAAATTAGTTTCGTTTAACTCTTTCTCTATGCTTGGCATGATTTTAAAATTAAATTTTGGTTTGTAGGTTTTTTATACTAAGGTCATTAGCCAACTAAATCATTTAACTAAATATTTCATTACTACCCTAATTAAAAACAAAAATATTTTTTTTTACAAACATACCCAGCTAGACTCATACCCTACTTTTTTAGATTTTTAGCGTATCGATGTACTAATACAAATACAGTGCCTCATCAAATGTAGTTCATGTTCATTTGGTCATAATTTATATTGTTCATCATTTGCAGGAGCTCTGAAAGGGAACAACAATGCCTAGCACTCCTGAAGATGGGGCTCCCACTAGGCTTGAGGTCTGTGATTGCTTCATTTGATTCATTAACTAGGATAAAGTTAAATGTTGGAGTAAGATAAACTGCGTGTTTCTTCAATGAATTACTAATGTATATCTGATTTCACAGCAGGGCAAGTATGTTGCAATGGTAGTGTGTTGGCTTCTCGGCAATGGTTGCCTCTTTTCATGGAACAGTATGCTTACAATTGAAGATTACTATGGCACCTTGTTCCCGGTTATTTCATCTCCTGTTTTTGCATTTTATTTCTTGTGTTTCAGCAGTTATTTTCGCTTGGTTTTGTTTCTGTATTGTGTTATTACACTGATGGCTTGCATGCCTAACTAAACAATTTGGAGCATTTATTAGGTTTACTTTACATAATCCTAACTTCCTGCCAAAAGTTGTTAAACCCTGTCATAAATTAAGCGCCTTGTCTGTTATATAGATACCAATTCACATGCCTAAAGCAGAGCTTAGCCTCAGTGTACACAAGTTTAAGCGGTGTCCTATATTCCTTACCTTAAACTTCTTGCAGTCTCCAGGAAAATCACTTCAAATTTGAGTGAGGAAAAAAAATCCTAGATTTGTGCCGTATAATACTTACCAAATCCTAAATTTTCAGTAATTTGAACTGTATGGGCTTTCCAGTGCCACTGTCAAGAAGGCATCTGTGTTCTTTTGGTGCTGCCTAGTGTTGTCAGAAAATACTAATACCTAGTGATTAGAATGTATGTTTCAAAATATGGTATATGTGCATTACAAAAATAGTAAATTCAACGATCCAAAGTTATCCCATTTTTTTCTTATTTATTTTCTTAAAGGTGGAGGGAAAGATCACAAAAGTCAAATGTGGTGATTATCTTGAATTTGAGTTGAAGGTACTCTAATAAACTGAGTGCTGAAATTTCTTTAATTGGAACAATTAATGATTATATGTTGATGAATTTCGGCCATGTCTTTGTTGACTAACCAGTGATCACAAGGGACTATATTTCTATAAACTGCATTTATTTAGATCTCTTTATTAAATTCTTGTCATCAAATTCAAATACGTTGGCTAGCTATATTTACTTCTCCTCAATTTTATCAAACCATGATGTTTGAGTTTTGAATAACTTCCAAAGCTGACTTGAGTTATTAGTTAGTTATGGGCATATCTGATGAAAAAGTATGTTTAAATATTATTGTTGTTGTAGCAAATAATTTAACAGAGAATTTCTTTCCTTGTACAGAAATACCACCCCTCAAGGGTCCTTACTCTTGTATATCAACCGTTTGCACTTGGGACACTTGCAATACTAACATACGAAGAGGCAAAAATCAATACCAGACGTAGAAACCTATTTGGATATACCCTATTTTTCATAAGCGCTCTTGCCATTCTTGTTGTAAGCGCCATAATTATATGTATTAAATCTTCAACTCACTCCTTAACCATATGGTTTTGTAGTAACATGTTTTAGTAACTCAAATTCAAATTATTAAGCATACAAGTCCACTTTGATTTCATCTTTTCATTGTATTGCCACAGTTGAATTTAGCTACATCTGGAAAAGGAGGAATTGGGACTTATATTGGAATATGTATCATTAGCGGTGCTTTTGGAGTTGCAGATGCTCATGTTCAGGGTGGAATGGTTGGAGATCTATCATTCATGCTACCCGAGTTCATTCAAGTTAGTATTTGTGGTTAGCTTATTTGTGGTCAACAACTTTTACCTCCACTCTTAGTTTTGAAGTTTTGATATAAGCTTTCTTGTTTTTTATTCTTCAAGTCTTTTCTTGCTGGTTTGGCTGCATCGGGGGCTCTAACCTCTGGCTTGAGATTGATTACAAAAGCAGCATTTGAGAATTCCAAGGATGGCCTGCGCAAGGGAGCTAGTACGTTCAAATCCTTTTAGCTGTTTTTCATAAATTTTGTAGGAAATATGATTTCAATAAGTATTGCTACATATTGGGCTTACAACTTTCTAGTTACTGTTTTGTGTAAGAGAAACTCCTCAAAGTATGAACGTAAAGGAGATTAAGTTTAGGTAGGTAGTCAATGACTTTTTTTCGCTCAAGTTATTTGTTTATTTTTTATTTATAAATATTTATGGTTATTGTTTTCCACCTAAACTACAAATAATAGGCTATCATTGTCAATCTTTTTAGGTAGTTGATTCTGATGCATTTTGTACTCTATTTGACTTCTCTTTCCAAACCAAGTATTTTGCTTGTGCCCTATTTTGTTCAAATTAATGAAATGTTTGTCCCAGATATCGGAAGCTAACATAATCCAATTGAATATCTGTAGTGAACTTCATAATGGAAAAACATAGATGTTTAGGTAAGATAATGATGAAACTGATTTGGATTGTAGAGTTACAAAATGAATTAAAATTTTTACTTCATGACAATAGAATCGATTTCTCTGATGGATATGCTTTCTTTAATTCCATATAACGCCAATATCTATTCTTTAATTTCAATTGCACTGTTTTAAAGAATGCTGAGATAGAGTACTATGATGGCATGTAATACTAGTTTACTAATTTTTATTGCTTACGGTTCATTGCAGTTTTATTTTTTGCTATCTCCGCATTTTTTGAACTCCTCTGTGTTCTTCTCTATGCATTGGTCTTTCCAAAGCTGCCAATTGTAAAATACTACCGCTCAAAGGCAGCCTTAGAAGGATCCAAAACTGTTTCAGCTGACCTTGCCGCTGGTGGCATTCATGCAGAACCAGGACAACAAGTATGTTTCATTCACTTTTAATTATGATGATTATATGGAGCAAGATACCCCTAATCCCTAATCCCTAATCATGCTCCACCAATCTTTTATTGGAACCTGAGCAGGCTGAGGAAGAAGACTCTAAACACTATGAGCGACTAAGCACAAAAGAATTGTTGTTTCAAAACATAGATTACGCACTTGATATGTTTCTCATATACGCACTGACATTGTCAATTTTCCCTGGATTCCTATCTGAAGATACTGGATCACATAGCTTGGGTTCATGGTTAGTGTTTCATAACTACTTGACAAATTTCTTTTTTAAAATAGGCTATTTTTATTGTTTCTCCCTATGTTACACAGACTCTTCAAAATAAATTAAATACCCGTGTCGGACACCCGACACTCGGGCAAGGGTATGGGATATGTGTCGGTTACTTTTCAACGAATACTTCTTATTTAATTGCATATAACCCTATTATCATATGTACATATTGTTGTATAATTGTTATAAATGTCATTTTGACACTGTAAGTTACATATAGTATCATTTTATCTCACATACTAGATTAAAAATATAAAACTATAATATTTTTTTGCTGAGCCCGCGTACCCTTAAATTTATGATTTGATTAGTCCGATCTCTAGATACATACCCGTACCCGAGTCTATGTAACATAGGTCTCTCCTTAATAATTTAGAAGAAGAATAATACCCATTTAAATTTATTTGGATCTTTTTTTCTCTATTTCGCTGGTTTTTTTTTATTTATTTTTAGAATCTGGTAATACTGCAGGTATGCACTTGTTCTAATAGCAATGTATAATGTATGGGATCTTATTGGGAGATACGTACCACTATTAAAATGCATAAAGTTGGAATCACGAAAAGGACTTATGATAGCAATTGTTTCTCGCATCTTGCTCATCCCAGCATTCTATTTCACAGCCAAATATGGCAGCCAGGGCTGGATGATATTGCTCACATCATTCTTGGGGCTAACTAACGGTTACCTCACCGTCTGTGTCCTTACTTCTGCTCCAAAAGGTTATAAGGTTCGTTGATTTAGGGGTTGTTTGGTTGATGCAGCTTTTGAGGCAAAAATAGCTGAAGTACTTTTTTAACTTTTATTTTTTGACTATCAGCTTTCAACTTGGTGGAAATTGCACCAAACAAGCCCTTTATTCATAATTCTCGATTTCCACTTGCAGTTTGAGACAGATTAATGCTATAAACTTATGGAATGGCGGTTTTGTAGGGACCGGAGCAAAATGCACTGGGGAATATACTTGTTTTGTTTCTTATAGGAGGAATATTTGCAGGGGTGACTCTCGACTGGTTGTGGCTCATAGGGAAAGGTTGGTGAGCATATTAATTTTCAATTAGGTTTTATCTTTTCCTTTGTCTTTTTTTTTTGGGTCCTCCTTTGGACAGGAAAAACTATGATTTCCTTTTTGTAGAATCTTAATTCTTGAATCAACATAGCTCTTAGGATTGCTGCTTCTATTGTCTTCACTTGCAAAACTACGTAAAGTTTGTTCATAATCATTCATTTATAGTGTTTCTTTTTGTGTTAAAAAGGCTATTACTAGATGTTTTTGTTGTGTTAGAGATGTTAATATTTGAATGTGTTTTTGTATCAAACTGACCTCTTATTGCTGAAACAAGTGTTTGAGAAATCTTTTTTTGCCCTTTATTTTGACCCCCTATACACTTGTCTGATTATGGCAAGTTTTAATGGGATTGAATGAGAAAGTGCAGAAGTGCATAAAACTGGACAGCCCACTCTGACTTATCAGAAACGAAGAGTTTGACTTTTCTAAGTGATCATTTTAATCATCAGAATAGCCCAATCTGAACACGAGTTATAAGTGGCAAGTCTAGATATCTGATTCAGCATTTGCTTTACTTCCATCTGCAATCCAAAGATGCAGCATTTGCGTCTTAGTGTTTCAAATCTTTTTTTCTTATCGATCTTTTTCTTTTTTCTTTTCCTCACAAGCCTACTTTTTTTTTTTTTTTTTTTTTTTTTTTTTTTTTTTTTTTTTTCTTGGGAAATTCTATTAGAATCAGACTTCTCGCTAGTGTTGTTACAGATGCTCAACAATTGCATTTTAATTGACTACAGATTTTCTCAAAAAAAAAGAAAAAAAAGAAAGAAATATTGCTATATACGCTATATATTTCCGATTTTCCGATGACTAACGCTATATACGCTATTTTAAGTTAGCGTATTGCTATATATACACAATACGCTATATACGCTATATATGCTATATAGCAATACGCTAACTTAAGTTCATATTTGAACTTAAAATAGCGTATTTTCCGATGGAGCCAATGTTCGTAAGTTGCCTCTAGTGACTTGTGACAAAAACTCTTCACAATGACCCCTTTTCAGTGTGCCATCGTGTCATTCACTCCTAGTTATTATGTAATCATTGATCATGAAATACACACATCTATTCTACGTCTCTTGTGGTTTGGCAAATACGTTGATCACCTGCCTGTCATTTGTAATTAATCACATAACAATCATATAGTTTGTGAATTAAAACTTACATTAACTTCTGTAAACAAAAATTGAATATAGTTGACCATTTTGATTTACATTTTTATTTTCTGTAAAATGTAAAATTTATGTATGTATTTAAAATCCTATAAACAAGATGTTTCAAACAAGATTCATGAAAAACCATGAAATTTTACTGTATTCGTTGTGATGTCACAATGAAATTCCTTTGTTTTCATATAGAGTGAAATTTCACTAAGAGAAACAAAATGAAATTTCGTTGTGCAAAGTCAATCAAATTTATTTTTCTACACCAGAAAATCTAAAATTGATTATCAATTACAAAATCCAAGTCTTTAATTCCAAATTTAATATTCAAAATGTTTATTCCAAAATTTAAAATTTTCTATAATAAATGAGTAAAATTTCATTGTGTAGATATAGTGAAATTTCCTTGACTCTACGCAATAAAACTTTACTGTGCAAAATTAGTGAAAAATATACCAAATTTTTTTTTAAAAAAAAATTGAGGATCAATCTTTAATTTCAAATTTTTGACACAATTTTAAATTGAACGTTCCAAATAAATTTTTTCCTCATAAATTCTTGAGCAATAGCAATGTGATGCAACTAACATGGTAATTATAAGAAGTTCAAGTTGCAACCAAATTCTTCACTGAAGATGTCAACCATTGCATCGAAATTGAAGAAATTAAATTCAGCGAAGTTGTGAAGAACGGGATGAATACTATATTTGAGAGAGAAAGAGAGACTCTTTGATGAGTTTCAAATTTGGAAAAGAGGGATATTGATATCAAATATCTAGAGGAATTTTTTGGGTTTGAAGATATTTATGATCATTTATATCAGTATCTTTTCCTTATTCTTCTTAGATATGAGTGTTATGACTATAGGACACCAGAAATCAATTCCACACAATAACACAAGAATATTTACGTGGTTCGGCAATTGCCTACGTCTACGGAGAGCGATATATTATCCGGAGAAAGATTACAGTACTCACTCACATATATCTCTCCCTCCTGTTGTTCTCTCTATGTTTGCTACACATTTTCTCTCCTCTCAGCCTCTCCATTTATACACCATACCTGGAGAAAGCTAGAGAGCACAACTGGCTCAACACATGGCCAACTGTGTACTTGCCTTTTGGTTCATTTACTTTCGGTTCCTTTACTAAAGGTGTAGTTCACCTTTCAAGCTGGCACAACACATCACATGGGAGATCATTCTCTTATGAGCTGGAGCTAACAATTCTCCCCCTCCACACCCATAAGGATAACTGACTTCTCACTTGAAGTCCATCCCGGTTAGATTCTTGCAAACTTCCAGTTTGTCTCTAGAGACACCTTTGGTCATCATGTTAGAAGGATTCTTGTCTGTGTGAATCTTCACTAGCTTCATCAACTACTTTTCCATCACTTCTCGTATCCAATGATATCGGACATCAATGTGTTTTGTACGTGAATGGTACATGAGATTCTTGCTCAAATCAATTGCACTTTGACTATCACAATGTACCTTGTATTCTTCTTGCTGTAGACCCAATTCTTGGAGAAACCGTTTTAACCACAACGTTTCCTTTCCAGCATCTGCGGCAGCAATGTACTCTGCCTCTATTGTAGATAAAGCAACACACTTTTGTGGTTTGGACTGCCATGAAATAGCTCCCCCTGCAAAGGTGAACAGAAATCCTGATGTAGACTTTCTACCATCAAGATCACCTACTATATCGGCATCTGTAAAACCCTCCAAAATTGGTTCAGCTCTCCCAAAACATAAACACATCTTTGAAGTTCCCTTCAAGTACCGAAGAATCCATTTGACCGCCTCCCAATGCTCTTTTCCTGGATTGGTGAGGAATCTGCTCACAACACCAACTGCGTGAGCTATATCTGGCCGGGTACACACCATTGCATTCATCAAACTTTCTACTGCGGAAGAATAATGGATTGTCTCCATTTCTTTCCTTGCAGAGCTGGTCGTGGGACACGAACGCTTTGATACATTGAAATGGTTGGCCAGTGGTGTGCTGACTGGCTTGGCATCTTTCATGTTGAACTTTTCAATTACCTGTTCAACATATTTCTCCTGTGACAGCCATATCTTCTTAGCTTTCCTGTCACGAACAATCTTCATGCCCACAATTTGCTGTACTGGGCCTAAATTCTTCATGTCAAAATACTGCGACAAGTCCTTTTTCAACTTGTTGATCATAGTAGTATCTTGTCCGATGATCAGCATATCATTGACATACAACAGTAGGATAATGAAGTTTCCATCTGAAAACCTTCAGAAATATACACACTGGTCTGCCACCGTTCTTGTTTACTCGTGATCTACCATAAATGAATCAAACTTCTTGTACCATTGTCTCGGCGCCTGTTTCAGGTCGTAGAGACTTTTCTTCAGTTTCCAGACTAGATTCTGTTTTCCTTTAACTTCAAATCCTTCTGGTTGCTCCATGTAGATCTCTTCCTCCAAATCACCATGGAGAAAGGCAGTCTTGACATCCATTTGTTCTACTTCCAGATTCAAGCGAGCTGCTAATCCTAGAGCTACTCGAATAGAAGTCATCTTCACAACTGGGGAGAATATCTCATCAAAATCAATTCATTTCTTCTGTCCAAAGCCTTTGACCACCAAACGAGCTTTATGCTGCAATAGTTTACCGTTTCCATCTTTTTTCAACTTATACACCCATTTGTTCTTCAAGGCTCTCATGTTTCTTGGAAGTGGAACAAGCTCATAAGTGTGGTTCTTCTGCAAAGAACTCATCTTCTCCTTCATGGCTTGCATCCAACAGTCTTTTTCTGTATGACTCTTGGCTTCCAAAAAACTCTCGGGCTCCCCCTCATCAGTAATCAGAATATACTGAGAAGCGAGATATTTGGTTGATGGCACGGCAGCTCTTCCAGATCTCCGCAACTGAGGCCCAGTTGCCTCTGGTTGAGGGGGTTGCTCCCCCTGCTCAACACCCTCTTCATCCGGGCCTTCATCTCTTTCCTCCTGATCCTCAATTTCTGGCATAGGATCCTGCAATTCTGGCACTTCTTGTTGCACATCATCACATCTAGCATTTTGTGATGGCTCGGGAGATGGAAACAAGTCTGGAGTGATGACATCTCTAGACTTTGCAGATTTCTCAAAATCTGCTACTGTCTGGTCTTCCTGTAGACACCCCATTTTTGACCGTCCTCTAGGCTTGGACGTCATCGTTTGAATACACTATGATTATCCATGCTTGTGTTTGTTTTGAGTTTCGAAAAGTCTTGGTTGCGCGCCTTGCCTTAGAATCTCTTAACTTCTCTGTTTTGTGCTTGGTTGCACAAAGAGCTTGTGGATATGTTCCTGAGGGAAGGGGGGAGCCTGTCGACCAAGTCTTCTGCCCACCGGCCACCTTGATTTTCAATCGGCCAAATGTGATGGCCGGCCAGCCAATTTGACTGCCGGTCGACCACTTTGATAGCCGGCCGGCCAAGTGTGGTTTTCAACAAATATCTCTGTAAACAGCTGGCAGCTGTCATTCCAGGCCATACCCCAGCCCATGCCTGGACGTGGAGTTCTGAGAAGCTGCAGATTGATATATTTCTATATCAATCAAGCTCTCTTACAAGGGGGAAAGAGGAGGGATACAACTTGAAGAAAAAATTTCCTCTCTCTCTAAAATTCCCAACTCTCTCCCTATCTCTCTCTTCCAAACCCTTCAAACTCTAAGGTTCTTGCCCCCTTTACACTACCACTCATAGCCTACAACCTCCATACTCCATTCCAGCAATTGGAGGCTGTTTTTCAGAGCTTAGGAACACCAATTCTCGGACCAAAAGCTGCTGGAAGTTTGGACTACAAGGGTGAGTCTCATTTCTCTCTTTTTTTGCTCTATTTTGCATGCAATCTTAGCTTTTGTTGCTTACATTTTTGGGCTTTGACCTAAACTGTAAATAGTCATATTTTGAGCTCCTTTTCATGTTTGATCAAGGACCTCTTGCTGTTTGAGGTCTCCTCCTCCGCCTTTGTGTTTAAACTCTCTTTTGGGCCTATGTTTGCATG